TTCTATAGAATGGGATCCGATTTACCCAGTGGATGCTCACTTTTGCTCAAAACAGAATTATTCATCCCCAGTGAAGGTGTACTGCGGCCTAGAGAGAATTATTTATCTCCAGTGAAAGTATACCCATGCATAATCCCCACTGAAGTCAGCACCCTTGATAAGAGTTTGTTTAAGAATTCTTCCCTTCCAAAAGGCTTTCCTCCGAAGAAGTGCATTTCAACATGACTCTATACAATCTTCTTCTTCAGCGTAGTTTGCTCTGTTTCGAAGAATCTGGGAAGGATCGTTTCATTGGACTGGGTACCTTTGTTATATCCCCTTGAAGTCGATACTCTGCGACTCTGTGGTTAGTATTTATCCCCCTCGCGAGGTTGTCATTCATCGTCTCTATGAAGTTCATATCTTTTCTCCCTAGGTAAGTTTTCCCAAGTCAGGTTTTCTTGAAGAGATATCTGATTAACATGTTTGTTATGCCCAGTGGAGCAGGTCTCCTATTTTTCTAGGGCAGTGTACATGGACGAATGCTGTTTAGAATTCTTTTATCCCCAATGATGGAGTATGGATGAAATATTTCCTCGGTGGAGTTCTGAACCTCAAAGCTTATGGTTCAAAGGCTCCATTCTCTTCTTCAAGTGAAGATTGTTACCCTCGACGGTGGTATTCCACATGTGGCCTGGGTAGAATTCTTTTATTCAAGAATTTATGTGATCCCCTAGTCAAAGTCACTTTTATTGAGGATTTACATAAGAAGATTCCAATTCCCATCAATATCCTCTTTATCATTGGAAAGAAATGTTGGATCTTTTCCCCAGGAGGTTGGGAGTTGGATCCGAGTTCAAAATTTACTCTGAACTGCAATTTATTTTTGCAGTATTCTCCTTAGTAAAGGCGTACTTTTACTCGAGTATTCCTTCTTCTCAGTTCAGTCTGTTTCTTTCCAGGTTTCTAGGAAGAATCATTTTACTCACTAACTGGAGATTCTTGATATACTCCCTTTGAAGTCAACATTTTACGACTTCCTCAGTGAGGTTTTCACTTGTTCTCCTCATGAAGTATGCATTCTCCTACTCAGTGAGGAATGCACTCCCTCTCTCTCCAATGTGGCTTGCCTATATCAGAGTTCTTAGAGAGAATCATGTTTTCCTATAGGAGATTCTAGTTTGTTATCCTCATGAGGACGATCATCATCCGCAATGAAATAATTTCTGCTCCCCAGTATAGAACTTCTTACTGGCTTGAATCTTACGGAGATGGATATACCCAATGCAATGAATATTGTTGATGTTACCATCTAAGTCTTTTGGCTCCCCAGTGTAAGAGGTAGTCTTTGTCCCTAGTCGAAGCTTGATTTTGAGGACATGTCGATGTAACTTACCCATTATTCCCCAGTGGAGAAAATTTTTCTTTCCCAATATGGTGTATATGGGAATGCCAGTCATAACTCCCTTATCCATGGTGGGAGAATATTTTGTTGGGATATCTCCAGTGGATTTTCTGTCCCAGGATGTTTGTTTCTTCCTCAAGTGAATATTTTTACCCCCCGGCGGTGTTATCCCCAGTGTGGTCTGAGTAGAATTCTTTTTATTTAAGAATTTCTATACCCCCCAAAAGAAGTTATCTTCGTCCAGAAGTTTCCATCCTTAGCAAAGCTCTCCTCTTTCTAACAAGAGGATAAAGATTTTGTTCCCCAGGAGGTTGGAAGTTTGATCAGAATTCAAGATTTTCACTAAAATGCAATTTATTTTTGCAGTATTCTCTCCAAGAAGTTACTCCCCTGTGATTTCGATCTTTAGAGGTTGGTGGTTTGGGGTCCCATTTCCCCATCGAAGTTCAGATTTCCTTTTCTCTACCGAAGATCAGATGTGCAAGAATAATTGTTCTGAGGTTCATTGTCTTCTCAGCAGCCGACTATTAATGTAATTTCCCTAGTGCATTACTAAACATGCATCTACCAAAACGCGTAGCATTTCTATTGTATGGAGCATTATGCTATAAAAACAAATTCAAACTTGCATGAGTATAAGCCAACTATGTTTACTTGTGGTGACTAAATTGTTACGTGCTCAGATTTGAATTATCTCCACAAGAAGCTTAGGGTGATTATATTCTATTTTCCCAGCGGAGTTAGTATGACTTACCACCAGTCGGGTCTTTGGTATGTCTCCATTTCCCTAGTGAGTTGTGTTTTTCTCTTGCCCTTGCAGGCCCTTGGTTATTTTACCCGTGTTTGCTTTACCGTTAGAGTGTGAGTAAGAGTCGGTGTATAGCCTTTCTTGTTTCTCAAGTGTTTGAGTATCCTTCCTTGGTATGTGGTAATTCATATAATTTACACTCTTGAAGAATTACACCCCACCTTTAGCCTGAGGGATTTTGTAGTTCTTGCATATTTGCAAACTCTTAAAGCCCAATGCGTGTTGGCAATCTTTGTTTATAGTCCCTACAATTGGTCTCTTTTTCTAATCACAAGTTCTCCTTTGACCGGCGTTCTGTTTGGTTTTAATACATATGGGAATCCCCAGTAAGTTTGTGTTTTGCTCTTTCCCTTGCATACCTTTGGTTATTTTACCCGTGTTCGCCTTTACAATTAGAGTGCGAGTAAGAGTCGGTGTATAACATTTCTTGCTTCTCAAGTGTTTTAGTATCCATACTTAGTGTATGGTAACTCAGATAATTGTCACTCTTGAAGAATTATAACTCGCCTTTGGCCTGAGGGAATTTGTAGTTCTTGCGTATTTGCAAACTCTTAAAGCCTAACGCGTGTTGGCAATCCTTGTTTACAGTCCCCTTCGGTTGGTCTTTCTTTCTTTTAAGGTTCGTCTTCACCCGACGTTCTCTTTTCTCTGGAATTCACCTTCGCCTGGTGTCTTTCCATCTTAGGTTCACCTTCGCCCGGTGTCCCTTTTCATTGGTTAAGGTTCGTCTTCGCCCGATGTTCTCTTTTCTCTGGAATTCACCTTCGCCCGATGTCTTTCCATGTTAGGTTCACCTTTTCTCGGTGTCCCTTTTCATTGGTTAAGGTTCGTCTTCGCTCGACTTTCTCTTTGCTTCGGTAAGTTCACCTTTTCCCGGTGTCTTTCCATCTTAGGTTCACCTTCGCCCGGTGTCCCTTTTTGTTGGTTAAGGTTCGTCTTCGCCCGACGTTCTCTTTTCTCTGGAATTCACCTTCGCCCGGTGTCTTTCCATCTTAAGTTCACCTTCGCCCGAAGTCCCTTTTCATTGGTTAAGTTTCGTCTTCGCCCAACGTTCTCTTTGCTTCGGTAAGTTCACCTTCGCCCGATGTCCCTTTTCATTGGTTAAGATTCGTCTTCGCCCGACATTCTCTTTGCTTCGATAAGTTCACCTCCGCCTAGTGTCTTTCTACCTTAGGTCCACCTTCGCTCGGTGTCCCTTTTTGTTGGTTAAGGTTTGTCTTCGCCCGACGTTCTATTTTCTCTGGAGTTCACCTTCGCCCGGTGTCTTTCCACCTTAGGTCCACCTTCGCCCGATGTCCCTTCTTGTTGGATAAGGTTCGTCTTCACCCGACGTTGTCTTTTCTTCCAAATTCACCTTCTCCCGGTGTCCTTTTTTTGGGCTAAGAATCGTCTTCACCCGAAGATCTCTCTTCTCCGCATTTCACTTTCGCCCAGTGCCTTTCCATCTTAGGTTTACCTTCGACCGATACTCCTTTTTGTTGGTAAAGTCTGCCTTCGATCTGTGTTCAATTCAGAGTCAATGCATATTTGTATCCCTAGTAAGTTCGCCTTCGAATGGCGTCCCTTCGTCAGAGCCTTCTTTGATTGATGTCTATCTTGTGTATGTCTAACCTTGACTTGACATCCAAGAGATTTACTCAGATAACTACTGCAATCCAAAAAAAGAAAAAAAATAAAAAATACAGAAAACCAAAAAATATAATAATACCTGACTGGCTTCGGAGCGTAAATTTTCGGGTTCCTTTAGTATTTAATCTTCTTCCACCTTGAATGTTCTAAAGGCTAGCGCCAATCTCACCTTCAGGTTGAAGGCGATTAAATAGGGGCAGCTGCTGCACCCCAAAATTTGCCCTCCTAATTTCTTTTAGTTGGCTTAGACCTTCACATTCATTTGCATGTATTCCATTAGGTCACTAACATGGCGTACATATACATTCAATAAAGTGCCTGAGGTTTGAAGTCCAGTGATCATGCAAGCTAGGATTTTCTATTGGTTTTGAAGTGTATATATTCATTAAAACATGTTTCTTCTGGTTCTTCTTCAAGTAGTGAAGTGTGGAAGCAGGGTTTATGATTGTGACCATTGAAGACATATTCATTCGTTAAGGCTCCGAGTTTTGTTGTCTGCATCAAGAGTTTAAAAGTGTCATCATTGATTCTAACTGAGAAGACTGTGAGGTATGGCTTTTATGTTAAGTTTCTTCTTCATACAATGTATACCTCGAGAAAATTAGGGTTTATATCCTATTATACTTGGGTTAGTCAACATTTTCATTGGATGTTTTGTTGGATAGCAAGACATGATATAAGGAGGGTGTTGTGAATTCATTATGATCAAGGGCATTATCGTTCTCAATTGTTTGATCGCTTGTATTGCAAGTTAGCTTGGAGGTGGGAATTGAAATTAAGGTTTCTTCAAGACATGGTACTTTATGAGGTCATTGGTTACCGAGTCAAAGGTTTATAGATTGAATTTCAAAATATTAAATCATGATTCAAAGAATAATTTTATGGGTTCGTTGTTATACTTGTTGCTCACAAGGCAAACATATACCAATTGAGTGGTTTTGTTAATTGAAGATTGGTTTAGAATTGTTCATCTAAGTTTCATTTGTGTTCCAAGTTAATATTTGAAGGAAACTCATATGGAATACAAGTTACAGGTTGCAAAAACACCATGGTTCATTCAAGTTCACCTTGATTCAAATTTCATTGCAATTTGAAAGTCTATCCTAAGGGACTATCTCGTTACATTCACCAAGGCACATTGGAAGATGGAAACATGCCTTCACCTTATGGTGCTTCCGGCTATTGAGATACATAAGGAGCAAATATTATTGAGATATCATTACAAGTTATTCCAAAACCTATCCTAATCCTAAGTCTAATCTTCATCAAACTTAATGCTCTTAAGCGATCTTCATGCTTCCTTCCATTTGGCCATGCCTTAGAAATTACTTCACCAAACCGTTTTGCACAATAACAATTAACCTGCAGCAAAGGCATTAAACCATTTTCAACATCAATACATTCAACCGTTCACAAATATGCTAATATACATCGAAATACAAGCAACTGGCCAATGTACCGCATTAAACATGCTTTAACTAAGCTGGTTGAACCTGCACACAAAACTAATTGTTGGGCGCCGAATTAATTAACCATCGAGTTGATACTCAAATTGAGAGCAAACTGTAGCCATGTCTAGTTAGCTAACACTAATACGGCATAACCAGATCAACAGAAAATCCAGAGTAAGTGATAATGGTCCAGCTAAAATCAAAACAAGTTACATTCATAAAAGAAGCAGTTATCCATTCCAATCCATAACCTGCATACAAACTGGTTTCAAAATTAATCACGAAGCAAAACAGTTAAACTAGTTCTACAAAAATAACCGAACTAGATCGATTCACCTCCATCAAATCTGCTGCTAATCCAATTCAATCATCAAAGGGGAAAAAGCAGTTAACAGAAAAACTGCAAAAGAGAAAATAGGTGTAAAACCAGAAAATATAGACAAAATGAATCAAAAAAGCCAGAAAATAAAGAGGATAATACAGCTCAGCACATTTTTCAATTTAAGGCTTACAACAGAAAATGATAGAAAAAGTTTTTATCAGGAAAATACCAGAAGGAATTTGCCAGCTCAGAAAAAACAGAAAAACCGTGGAAGATTATACCAGAAAAAGAAAATTAGTTTCAGAGCTAACTTTTATAACATGATTTCAGGTTAATCCTAGCCATCCAGATCTCTAACAGAAGTTCAAATCAACCTGTAACTAAATCTTCCAACCTCCTAACTATTTCTAAGGACTTCCAACAAAAGGATCACAAATACATAACAGAAGGGGAGGATGGAGGATTCATGATTCATTCATACAGAGGAAAAATACAGAAAACTCACCTTTATCACATTCATCCTTCGCCCTGTGGAAGGATCACGAGAAAATCTCTCTGCAATCTTCATTCTTCACTTCTACAAAAATCACAAGAAAATCAGAAACTCTCTCTTCTCTACTATTTTTCACCTTTATCATTCACCTTCAACCTCCACACAACCACCTACTACCATTTTCTCTCCTTGACCTCCATTCATCTTCATCTTCAACCTTCACTTTTCCCTCCATTTTTCTTCCTCATCATTCTCACGCACCATTTCACCATTATTCATCCTCTGAAGAATCCTCCATTGGAACTCTTTCAATCTTGATAACTCTGTGATTCCTCAACACAGTCTTTACGCATCTTCATCTATAATTATTGAATCCTTCGCGATTCTTCAATAAATAATTTCAATGATTATTCATCATCAACAATAACATCATAACGATTCAATCGTATATCATCATCACACCACACAACAAATTTCAGATCATACAAAATTTCCACAATACAGAAACGAAAAAGAAGATTCGTGAACAAAGTTGTACCTGAATCGAAGATGCGCCAGTCTTTCTCTAGTAGGTAAGACCTAACCTCCACCATTTTTTATGTATTCTCTGTGTGATTTGAAGTGCGAAATCGCGATGGCTTTGAAACAAGCGGACACCATCGAAAGGGAACACGATGTGAAGAGCATGAACTGTGATGATCAGAAGTTTTTTGCAGCTGAAAATGTGAGGAGTCAAGGGAAGCGAAACCGAATCGCAGATGAAGATGCAAAAAAGAAGAATCAGGAGGGAAGATGATGAGCGGAGTATAGACGAAGATGGTCGGAGCAGTTGAGGGACGGAGGTGGGGTTGTTGATCGCGCCGTTGCATTTTGGAAGAAGAAGAAGAGGGAAAGCCTATGAACATGAAGTCTGAGGTTCGTATAACATTGAACCCTAAAACCGCTTTCAGGCCGGTAGATTTGTGTTGTTAATGCTTGGGCCAGACCGGGTTACCCTTAGGCCTATGGATATCTTCTCTTTGGTACAAGTGGGCTGCTAAATATGGCTTATTTTGGAATTCAATTTGCAAATTAAAAAAATCTGGTATGTTGTATGATTATTGGACCGGATTGCATTACCTTAAGTCCAATATACTGCTTTTTTTGGCATTTGAATGGTGTGCAACAAAAACAGTGTGGTGGACTACTATTTTTGTTGGGCTTCTGATTGCATATCCTTACTAAGCCTATTTACTGTTTTTTTATTGATGGCCTATTACTTTGTAACAAAAACAATGCCATGGATCATACAGTTGGGCCTAGCACCCAAATTGCTTCTTCTACGCCCTGGATTATTGGCCTGCACCCCCTGAGTTTATTATTTTAGTAATTTATTTTAAATAATTTTGTTAATTGTTTAGATATGTTTGAACTTTTTAGTTACATGATAAAAATAATAAAATCAATAAAAACTTGTAGATTTTTTTATATTTTTAATTTTAGGAATTTAAATTCCGATTATCCGATTATATTTGAGATTGGCAATTCACCTTTGCTTGTTTAGAAGTGAATCTTATGCAGGTTCATTGTATGATATCTGGATGCGCTTGAGATTTCGATTGTGATTTATTTTCACATTGAAGATGCGTCGATACTTGAGATTTCTCTTGTTTATCTCATTTCACACTTTACTGCTTTCTAGATATCATGAGAAGTAGGAAATAAAGAGCGTGCGCTCGAAGTTGCTGTTTAAAGACCTGTAGCAGGCATTCCACACTTCATTTACTATATGTGTTGTGCTTGTGTTTGTTTACTTTCTTGTTAATTGATGAGTCACTCAATTTAAGAATTGAGATCACGACTTCGCTCTCAGTGCATGCTTCCTATAGGATTTTATCGCTTTCCTTTATTTCCTGTTGATCGATGAGTCACTCAATTTAGAAATTGAGATCACGACTTCGCTCTTATTGCATGTTCCCCATAGGATAGTTTTGTTAGACTTTCTTTGGCATGCTAGCCTAGATAGGATCTCTCTAGGTGTGCTCTTTTGAGCTTATTGGCTTATTTGTTTGATTTCATCTTTGTGTGCATGTTTTAAGATGATATACCCTCGATATGTTCCTTTAGGACTTCTTGATTCATCTATAGATGATGAGTTGAGATAGACATTAGGATTGTTATCCAAGAATGTCAACTTAGGGTAGAGATTTCCCTTTCAAGCTCAACTTTAGGATCAATCATTGTATGATAACATTAGGGATAGATTTAGGTTAGTTTCCCTTAGATTTTTTTTTCTCTTTCTTTTGCTTCCTTGAATTAAGACTAAAACTCTTTTCTTGGCAAATCTTAAAACATCTAACAATTTCCAAATCCTTCTTTAAGGTAAAAGCTATCAACAAATGCAATCTCTTTTGCGCCTTCAGGCTTTTCTTTCAAACTTTTCAAAAAGAACATGTTAATTCAATTTTGTGCTGACGCGTAAATCTCCAAAGGTTGAGTTGCGGCAGAAGGTGAAATTAATATTGTTCATTAAAAATACAAACCAACAAAAAACATTTGAAGCCGAACTACGGCTGCTCTGATTCCTTAAAAGGGATACGTAGGCATTGGGGTAGGTCCCGAACGAGCACAACTTTTATTTTGCCTACATTATTTTCTCTTTTTTTTTTGCATGCATTCCATGTAAAACTTAGATATAGATCCTAACACACCTATAAGATAGATAACAAGAGTGGATACCGTAGAGTACTACAGGCATGTGGGGTGCTAATACCTTCCCCTCGCGTAACAGACTCCCTTACCCATATCTCTCGGTTGTTTGATCATGATTTCATCCTTCTCAGGTTTACTCGATGTTTACCTTTCCCCTCTTGTGGGATAAAAAATGTTCGATGGCAACATCATTGATTTTATTATCAGTTGATTGTTCATCCGGTTGTTTCAATGTGCCCCAAGAAACTATAGCTGACCAGTTCGAGAATTGTGTGGCGAGTTTAATGGCTGATGTAGCGGTAGAAATGTTCAAGACCAAGCCATTGGATTGACTAGCCTTTATACAAATCAGAAATAAAAATCGCCACCGCGCTTTATTGTTTCCAAAGGAATGGGAAAAGAGAGAATAACCCAAAAAGAGGGGGAAAGATTCAAGGTAAGGGGGTTGGTTATACAACGGGAAGGTATTAGCACCCTAAACATCTACGGTACTCCGCAGGAGACTCTTTGTAAAATCTGTATATTTTGGCTATAAAATGTGTTATATATAAAATGGATGGTGGAGGTGAGAAAAGAAATATATTATTTTTATGATTTTTACACCCGCCGCGGTTGAGAACCTTTAGTGCCTACGTACCACCTTTCGTGCAATAGGGGATCAGGGTACACGTAGTTCCTCTTTTTTAAAAAAAACTTGAAACACAAAATGTGTTGGTTGATTTTAAGAGATAAGACATCATCGTCATTATCCGTGTGGAAAACATACTTACTACCCACAATCATAAGAAAGGAGAATTTGCATCATCTCAAAGTGGAGGATCATGACTTGGATTTTAAAATCAACAATGCCTCACTTAACACCCAAGTGGAAAATATCTCACTTCACTACATATTGTAAAAGTATAGTTATTTGCATCACTACAAGGATTGACAAGAGCCTTAATCTTTTGAGAAAAGTTTTAAAGATAAAAGCCAAAGTGGCAAAATGGTTTGAAATGAGATTGGGTGACTTTTAGTCTTCTCACAAAAATGTAAAGGTATTATTAAATTGATTGGAGTTTATTTATGAAAATATTTTTGAAAATGCATGGACATAAGCCCAAGTTAATTATGAAAGGGGTTTAAGTTTCAAAACAAGAAGGGTTTTTAAAAGGAGGGAGAAGATTTTTGAAATTAAAGAAGATGGGAGGAGAAGAAGAGGCTATCATAAAGCATAAGGTAAAGGCTAAGGATAAGGACCATCTAACCAACAAGAAGCCAAGGCTTGACATTATGAGCCAAGGTAAAATTCCCATTCTTTGGATTGAAACCAAGAAAACAAAGATACTAGACGTCTTCAAGTGTATTAAGTCTTCTCAAAAATTGGGCAGAGTAACGGCTGTATGCGGGTGAATTCCAGATTACAAAACAAAGAGTGTAATCATAAAAACCTGCACACAAAAACAAACAAGCAACCCAATGTCTTGAGGTAAACCTCAAGAGCTCCAGACAAAATAATCAGATAAGATCACAAGGTCTCCAAGATAGGCCAAGGTTTCTAATCCTAAGTCCAAGAAAAAGTCCACTGATCCATTATACCAAGGATAGTAACCAAATAGTCCAAGTACCATTAAAAGTTTTTTAGGGTTTATGTTGATTATTAAGTATCTTAAGAAAAGAAAAAGGAAAACTCAAGTGAGCAAAATAAAAAGGACAAGAAAATAAATGCTCAAATGAGCAAAGATGAAAATGGCATGAAATGAAAATGCTAAAAGATAAATAATACATCAAGCATAAAAGAATAAAAAGCATAAAATAAAGCAAGTTAATAATTAGTGGTTAGTTGGATGACCATCTTGAAACTTACATTTGGAACTCATTAGAGGATTGGTAGAACCAAAGCCTCCACACAACAAGTTGCATTTGCTTTTTGTCAAGTATATCATCCATTTGAAATTCTCATAAGTACCATTTAATGATCAACGATGTTTAACTGATTCGCGTTGACCAAAGGTGTTGTAGATCCATTAGAGGATTGGTAGAACCAAAGCCTCCACACAATGAATCTCAAGGTTATTGGATAAAAGAGATCAAATTAACATACTTGGGCTTGCAATCATAAGTTTGGGCCACAAATGATCATTTATTCGAATCGGGACAAAATTTAGCGTTATGTTAAGCAATCGTAAGTGGACTTATATAGAATTCGCACCTATTTTGAGGCCGGTCAATAGCAATCTATGCACCATTTGTTTTGAGACATGATATAAAGATCATGCTCCAATAACATTTAGTGCAAGAAGAAGGGAATGAGATGAAGGGGAATTAGGGTAAAAAAGAAAACCACATTTGAATTAATGTTTAATCAAACTATTATTAAAATCATTCATCCATTTTTGTGGAGTTAGACTCAACACCATGGATCTAATGATGTTAATAAAGCCATGACCAAAAAATCAATCCAAGATAGCCAGAAAATATTCACAAAATGATATAATATTTAATATATATTAAAGGATAAAAAATGTTAAATTAAACTAAAAAAATAGGGAAAATATTAATAATATTCAAATTAATCAAGAAACGAAAAATAAAACCATAGAAAAATCAGAAATGGGTCCAAATATTTTTATAAAATTTTTGGGAATTTTTAAAAGTCAGGAACTATTTTTAAAAATTAAAATAAATGGGTAAAATAAACAAAAAAATGGTAAAGTCAGAAACAAAAATAAAATAAAGTCACCAATATTTGTCACAATGTCATTTGATCATTTCATAATTTTCTCAGAATTAAAAAATGTGCAAATATATTTTTAAACATTTTAAACAAATCAAATAAGTGTAAAATTCATAAAAAATACCAAAACACAAAAATAAATTTTGAAAATAAAAAATAACGCATTTGGAATTCATTTGATTATTTGATTCTTTTATTTATTTATTTTGATTATTTATTTTGAAAATATTTTTGGAATATTATTGGTTTTCAATATGAATACAATAGTTATGGGTTAATAATTAATATTTCCTAATTCAATTTCATTTATTTTTTATAGGTCTTTTGTTGAACATCATTAAAATAACGTGTTACTTAATGTTTTAAAAAGTGAGATTGTTTTTACAATATTCAATTAATTAATAATTCATCATAAAAGAGAAATTTGGACTAAAAACGTGTTTTAAAACACCGTCTTATACT